GCCAGGCGAGGACGGAGGCAAGCGAGAGGGCAAGGCTAGGAAGCTGGACACGCATGTCGCGAACTGCGCACGTCGTCGACGGCGTCGATGTAGCTGGGGGTACGCAGTGAAGCTATGTAGTGCTGGGTACATGCTCAGGGGACGATACACGGCGTTGCGGTGCGCGTCAGTAACGACCTCCGATAAAGGCGGCCCCGCTTATTCACGTCATGACCTTTACTATCTCGTCGTAGGATAGTATAATGCCTTCGAACGCGTGTACCTCGAACAATCCAGACTGAAAGATACACAGCGATACTCTGGCATATGTATGCAAACGACATCGATGTCTCCATAGCATGCGCGCAGATGAGTTACGTACATATTCAGCCAATCAGTCGTCCATTGCACCAGTCCTGGTCATTAATCACCAATCATCGCTCGTCTTTCCCAGCAAATAGCCTCCATAAACCACTGGGCCACCTACCACTCCTCGTAGTCGTGCAAGGCAGGCTGAACTGCTGTCATCACGACACGTCGAAGGAATGCGAACCCTTCCGTCCTTCATTGCATCTTCCGGCCACGGACGATGTCTCATCGTCTCGTATTCCCAGAATATGAGGGTTTTCAGACTTGGTGCCCCTTTCAGTGCACGCTGCTCGAACACGGGCTGTAAAGTCGAACACCTCCAGCGGATATGTTCTTCAGCATCCCTCGAAGCGTACGTCACCGTGTCGCACCCTTCCGGGAGGTTTGTTGGCTCATGCGTGTTCTCAATTGCCCAACAGAGAACCAAGTTTTGCAAGGCCGGACAAGGTAGATGCGTGGAGGGAGCGTCGGCCGTGGTCGTGCATTGAGCAAGTGCTGGGAGGACGGAGTTAGGGCCGGTTGCTCCGCACACGGTGAGGGGGAAAGCCGGTAAGACAGCGACCCAATCCTCGACGGTACATGGTGGAGCGTTCCCCCATGTGATGCACCATTGATCGAGCACCTCCAGATGGGTAACGTGCATCTCTCGAAAGTAATCCCGCAAGAAAACTCCGCCCAGCGACGAGGCAAAAACCAAGCGCAATTTCCAGACTTGTTGAGAGTGGTCTGCAAAGCACTTCAGTTCCCACGAGCAGTCGTCGTGTATGCGCAGAGCAACTCTGTCGAACGGGCGGCTTCGAAAGAGATGACAAGGTATGAGGTCGGCGAGGCTCTGTATATCTTCTCCGGCTGCATAGATGAGGGCGGTTAGAGGAACGGATATGGCATTTAGGATCGCGCAGACCGAAGTGTCTGAGGTGTCGAAGATTCCGAGCTCTTTGAGCAAGGGAAGGTGTACGACAGCAACGTCTCCCGGCACCGGCCACTCGTACGGGATCGCATAGTCGTAAAATTGCAAGGTCTCGAGATTGGGACAGTTGCGCAGCGCCCGCAGCAGAACCCGAGGATCCGGAGACATGACATCTGGATCGTAATGAGAGCGGGCCAGCTTGACTCTCCGTAAGGATCTGGCAGTGAACAGAGGGAAGAGTTCCGCCGGGCTGACCAACAACTCGTGCAGGCGGGGAAGATTGATTTCAGAGAAGCGCGGCAAACTCGTCAGGTCAAATCGCCCTAGGCATCCTCGTCTCCACCATAGATGTCGAGTGTTTCTAGTGCTGGCGTGCTCGTCTCCAACAGCCGGGGCAAATCGTGTAGCAGCCTGCTGTCGACGTAGAGCTGTAGAGAACTGATCCGATACGAATGAAGAGACAGCTCGACAGGAAGAGAAGATAGTGGGTGGAGCTCGTCTGGACGCTCGGGTCCCATGATCTTTGCTTTGATGAGGCATGGGGAGGACCTTTCGAGAAGAGCGGCTGTGACCGGCCGGACGTCCTCGCGTCCGGCCATAACCGTCCCATCGTAGTAAAAGAAAGTAAGCCCTGAAACTGCTGCTGCCCAGAATTGAGGCGTGGAGAGGTAGACAGAGCGCCATCGCCGGCAGACGGACGTCAGATGGACGCTTCTCCAGTCCTTCCACGTCTGACCGAATATCTTGACCAGCAGCTCAGTGTGAAGCGTGTGGATCGGTGCGGCGGCGTTGTGGAGGGAGAGCATCGTGTAGGAGAGGAGGCGGTACTCGTCCGATTTCCTCAGTGTCCAGGCTCTGATCTCATCGCTGCTGAGCCTAGCGAGACTAGCACGGTCGGGTTCTGGCACTGACGACGCGAAGTCGGGGAAGGGAAGCGTATCGGAGTGTTGGTGGTGCATTTCAGTGCCTTGCTTTACGAGATCAGCATATGTGAGCAACTCCATCTAGTCCTTGAACGTACCGACTAGACTTTATGTGGTGTCACGAAGGAACGAGCCCGGGAAACGGACGTGGCTCTACTACCGCGTGCCATCGAAGCCGCGGTAGACCGCCTCGTGGCAACTTACCCACGGTTGCCAACGTGGTAACACCCAGCAGCGAGTATTAGAAAGTCGTCGGACCATTATACCGTATATTAGAACGACTACGTTGGATTATGCAACATATGACGCTAGAGAAGCGAGGCCAATAAGTTGGAAGGGTATCATGCACTCCACAGCCCCGCTCTAGATATCAAGAGGATTTCGCCCCTGCGTGGATGGCAATAGACCCTCGGGCAGGAACGGTTGCGGTGAAAGAGCCCTGAGACACCGTGATCCTGGGTAGAATGAGTTGCGATACAGCTGACAATGTAGGACTCGGAGGCAAGACTACTCACGTGGAACCGTTACACTTTCCGTTCGACGACCGTTTTCCACTGATCACATCGCAGTACGATCCATCCGGAAGAGACGTATGGAACTTCATCCACCATTCCGAATCTTCGTTATTGATCGCGACGAACCCGAGTGACCCTGTGCGATCGCCATCAGCGATCGCCATCAGCTATCACCGTCTCGATGTTGTGGAACGATGTGGAGCATACCTCGCCCGAAAGCGATCCTCTGTGCAGCCGGAGCAGTCCAGTTGGTGATATCCACATTCCCGACGGTGTTGCGGAAGCCGACCATTCCTGAGATGGCCTGCCAGCGGTGCTGGCAGAGCCAGCCATTCGAACCGCCATTGCCCGAGCATACTCCAGTACCGCCGTTGGGTGCACCAGTGTCGCCACTTGAAAAGCTATAACTCGAAAGGACCGTAGGAGTGCCGTAAGGATGAGCGAGGGCGAAGATGTTGGCAAGGATATAGGTGTTGGAAGGAGAGTTGTAATTGAGGTCGTGAGTGTCCTGCGATGTACGAGTGAGAAATCGCTCGAGTCATAACGTGGAGTCTTCCATACGCACACGTTCAGTGTCATGATTGGCAACGAAGACGTTTGCTTTGGCGCTCGGGACCCATCCTACATGTCACCGTCAGCGATTGCGTTGTGGAGACGAACTATGCGAGCATCAGACACCTCTGTTATCCAGGTTCTGGAGGTCTGACAGCCGACTCGAGCCAGTGAACGCAGCTGTGAGGGCGTCTTTGAAGCGGAATCTGCGACATCTTGCGATTAGCCAAAGCGTGGATGATAGCCTCTGGCTACTTACTCTTGTACATGGCCCATCTGAGTGTATTGATTCGGTGTCACGGGCTGGCCAGCACCGTAGACAACTTCTTGAGTGACGTAGAGATTCTTGCCCTGCTTGTTGAGGCGGGACAGAATGTTCGAGATGTCGCCGACGGCCATATCTGAACACTAGATGAGATCCACTGGGATTATGTGAGACAGGCTCTTACGCTTCGCAGCATCGATTCGAAGACCGTCCACGTTGAGACTGAGTAAGTCGTTTCCGTACTGCGCCAAACGACTCCGAACGTGCTCCTTTTCTGTGGCCAAACTACATTGAGGAGAGAGCTCAGACCCCTGCAAAGCTGACGAGGCAGTTCGGACACTCACTCAGCTAAACCAGCGAGTTGGCATGTCTGGATCGACGTCGCGTTGTTCCATTGGTCGATCCCGTGGCGGCAGGCGTGGAAGTCGGAGTCTTGGTAGATCCCAGGGTAGTTATACTTCGTGAATGAAGACCCTGCATAACCATTACCGGAGTCGACCCCTGACATGTGATTCCAAATTGTGTCTATTCGGGTAGCCAACCATGTTGAGTTCCATACTTATTAGCAAAGCGTGGCAGGACGCACCAACTATAACACCGACACCAGCAGCATGGCAGGCCTGGACCATGTTCGCAAATTGATCACGGTTGCCGTGCTTCGATGTGAGCTGGTACGATACAGCCTGGTAATCGGTCCACCAGGAGTCGCCTTGGATATGTTCCTGTGGCGGATTGACTGTGACGCAAGGTGAGTGTTCGCCCGAATCCTGGTAGACGTGTCAGAAGGAACTAACCCTGGACATACCCATAGCCAGCAGGGCCGACGAAGTTTGTACATTCTCGAGCGATACTATCCCAGTTCCACTGAAACATCTCGATGATGACAGACTTGCTCGTGGCAGGCGCGCGGCCGAAGTGGCGGCGTACTTTGAGTGGACTATCATGTCCCTCAACAGCAGCGCAGAGAACTGCCGTAACAGCAACGAAGACGGATAACGTAGACCAGGCGGGCATTAGTGTAGGTAGAGAGCGTGGGTAGCTAGAAGGTGAGTACGAGGAGAAAGAGCGGAGTGGTGGGTTAATCGAAAGCGAGGCGAGACGAGACGAGACGGCTCAGGCATGTGTGGCTGACACAAGCGACCCTGATTATGTCCGTGGCGGGAACCCGGCAGGAAGCGATGAATGTCATCTAGTAAGGCTCTCTGACAACACCCGCGCGAGGTGATAACGGAGGGAGACCGAACTGCAGCGCATAGACAGCTTCGAGAGCATTGCTGACAAGAAGGCATACTCTGAATGAACGTGACGCTGACCGACGACGCACGTCGACCTTTGGGCGGTCCTGGGATTGCTTCATGCCTGGTGAAGCTACACGGAGACGCTCCAATCGGCATCCTACAAGACGGATCCCCGAGATTTTTGTCCTGAAAACAGCGGCGTTCTCTGAGCGAGCCTGAGTGCAGAATACAACACGAGATTGTCGACATGCGTCCGAAGCGCGAACACGGCAACCTACGCCGGAAACTTCCGAGGAAGCCCCATCCATCAAGCGCCTCACCTGTCTGCGCCTGGCCCTGCATTTTGAACACGGTCGAAGTCTACACGGTCGTTAACAATTCATACGCACAGCCCAGCTCACCATTACTATTGTCTTGCTTATACGAAAAGCTTTTGCTGCGCCTTCGATAGTCGACCGTCGCCGGGGATACTGTTGATGACGACATTCTTTCGGACCCGGTATCCCCAGCTCACGACACTCGAGAAGACCTCGACTTGAGTAAGGTGATGTGCTTTTTGGACACGGCAATTCAATTCCCTAGGCCCGCTGTCTGATGGAAACATCTGGAAGCAGTAGGGAGCGCGATGCCCGGCCATTGCAGATAAAATCAACTCTAGTCAGCGCATGTAGCGGGGTGTATAAAGGGCACTGGTCCCAAAGGATTGTACCCACATAGCAATGGCGGACTCAAAGCCCATTGTGCTACGAGCCGTACTCGACTCCGGCGCTCCCCATGGCCTCACGGTGTATACCACCGTCGTAGTTGTCCACGGACTCCGAGTCCGAGTCATGGGGCAGGGCGGTCAGTAGTGCTTACCATGTTGCCTGTCACGGTCATGTCATACATTGAATTTGAGCGGAACAGCGAACTTCAAGAAGCTGCTACCGCTGGCAACTCAACATAGGACACGGTTCATCGCGGTCAACCGGCGTGACTACCCAGGATCAACCCCCTACACCCTGGACGAGCGTGTCCGATTCGAGTGACTTGCTGCGTCATCACCAAATGATGCTGACGCTCAAGCGGAAGCCGTTGAGGTCATGCGCGATCGTGCGGGCGAGTTGTATGACTATCTCGTAAACCTCATACAGCACGAGGATATCCCCTTGTCACGTACAGGAGGCGAGGACGCGCAGGGCGGAGTCATTCTTGTCGGATGGTCTTTTGGCTCGGTCTGGGCAACCGCTTTCCTAGCGCATGAACCCTCATTCCACTCCGATATAAACCTCGGCAAGTGGGTGCGCAGAGTGGTCTCGTACGGTAGGTGATTCATCCTGCGGAAGAGGGGCCTGGCGGCTGACACCACCTCTGAATAGCTCAGCCGGGTTCCTCGGGCAGGCAGTCCCTCCAGGAATATACCTTCCTCTCGTTGACCAGTCTATGCCACCCGTAGAACAGACACAAGCCTTCCACATGTGGGCGACACAGTACTTCGGACACGGAGAACCTCTTGCCATTAAAACGTTGGCAACTCGGGACGGCTTGGAGCAACCTGGTTCAACGCTGAAGAGGATTAGCGGAAAGGAGTTTGCAGAGAGCACGTGCGACGACCCTGGAAGGCTCCCTCATGGATCTGATGCGCTCATTCTGAGATTGTGCACTGTTCACGGGATGGTTCGCTATACTTGCATCCGGGGAAAGCCGACGATCCGACGGATGACTGGCAGGACGTAGACGTGCGTATTTTTTGGTGCGACCATTCAATTTGGACGATGCCGTGGGGTGCACAAAGCGTCGCTGAGGAGCTGAATGCGGCGAAGGCGGCCGGCCACTCGGAAGATTTCTTTTATTCGCCTTTGAGGTGCCAATCACTTCGTAAGTTGGTAGCACGCGGATAAGTGTTGGTGTGCTGATGCATGATGCATCTGCACTAGGCGCATTGGGAGTTTCCGGAAAAGACACTCCGTGCTTTTCTCGGGGACGAAGAAGAGCTGTGGAGGTTGTCGCTGTGTGGAAGGCGCTAGTAGCCCATCCTGTATGGACGCATAACGAACACTGTCTTGAAACTTGCATGTTTGTAGGTACCTTCTTCACCATCTTTGATCCGATGTCAACAATTACCTCCTGACAGTTCATCATTGTCAACAATACTTGAATGTGGACTCCTTCTCAGAACAGCGGAGGGAGCTGGTACAGGACGATACGATACGACGAGATATGGGTAAATGCGCTCGTTCCTCTACGCAATTTCGTACTCGGGTAGCTGCTTAATCGCCCAGAGTACGTGTCTTCGGAACGACTGTGCTGTATAAGCACGTCGAAGCCTAAGAGTGGCCGAAAATGGGCACGGGCACATATGGCTCCTCTAAGGAGTGCAGCTCCTCGTCGCTCAGCTTGACTTGCAGACTCCCTGAACAATGCGCAGCCCATGAGTTCGCGAGCAGGCATCTTCAATAGTCATCATACAACTAACCGATCAAGTCATTCAACTTCTCAATGCTGCTAGGTCCAATGATGGGCGCGGTGACGCCTTCCTTGTGCAATAACCATGCGAGCGAGAGCTGCGCCATACTGACGCCCTTCTTCTTTGCGAGGTCTCCCACCCGGGACAGGGTCGTCGGCGTCGCAGCGCTCTTGTATTTCTCGAGCGACCTGCGTACGATAGATTGTGATCAAGGGTATCACGGGCAGCTAGGTGCTACTCACGGATCTTTAGACCGCATTGTATTTACTTCAGCGTTCAGCGGGCGGGCAAGTAGACCCTTAGCGAGCGGCGACCACGGAATGGAGCCGACTCCGAACAGCTGAGATACATCAGCGTCTGAATCAAGTGAGGGCTTGACAACAGGATGTGGAACTGACCTTCAGCGTTGGGAACAACTCGCGTTCGTCCTCCCTGTATAGGAGATTGTAGTGGTTCTGCATCGAGATGAAGGGCGTGAGATTGTTCTTGAGGGCATAATCTTGACAAGGCACATTATCAATGAGGTGTTCTGCGTGAAGAGTACCTCATCGACGCACTTTGCATAGCATGGACTGCAATCCATACTGCGGTCAGTAGGGGCAATGTCGTGGAGAGTATGGGACATACATTGGTAGGCCCAGCAGGAACTCATCCCGATGTACCGTACATGACCGGCTTTGACGACATCATGCAAAGCTTGCATCTGGGATACTCGTTCAGGAATGATGCTAGGATGCTCCAGCCGGTTCTCATACCGTCTCCTCGATAGGTGTGGTCGTATCGAACCTGTGGCCTAGTACACCATATGCTCAGCACCGCGTCTATTCGAATCCGCGAAACCCTACGCACATTGGAGGACGTCGATATAGTCAACCTGCAACCGTTTGAGCGCATCTCCAACAGCCTCGAAGATGTGCTGGGGAGACCGTTAGCATATTACAATCTCTCAGGAGGAACATATCGGTGCATACCTTCCGACTAAGGCCACGCCTGTTGATGATCCCATTGTTCTCCGGGTCCATGTACTTCTTTACCGGGTCAGGAGCCTCGAGGTCAACCATGGGCAAGCCGATCTATCCGTGCACATCAATATCCCACCGTCGTAGAGACGAAGATGGAGTGGTCAAAAGATCATCCACGCACCTTGGTCAAAATCACGATCTCCTCGCGAGGGAGGTTGAGTCGCTTTATAGCGTTCCCTAACATCTTCTCAGAGAGGCCCATACAGTAGATCTGTCATTGTGACCATTCAGCGACTCTCAGGAATTTCACGATACCATCGAGCGACGTACATCAGCAGTATCGAAGGTAGTGATGCCGTGTTCATACCTTTACTCAGAAGACAGCACGCACGATCAGAAATGGCCTAGGTATGGAGAAAACCGAGACGAGAACTTACGCCACTCGAACCTGCTCTGTAGCAGCTTTCTCATCGATGGTTGACCACGGAAGGAACTTCGGGTTTCCCCACATAGCCGTGCCCAGAATCAACCTGGACACCTTGAGGCCAGAGTTACCGAGACGCACTAGAGGGGACATGGTCAGACAAGCTGAGCATAATGTGGGCATGAATCAAGGCCGAGTTCGAAGGGCACTGCCGCTCACCATATTTCATCGCGTTCGCAGCGGCGGCCATATTGGCAAGTCGAGTGTAGGAGATGAGTGGAGTTGTTCCGAAAGGTCCCTATCTCTCTGAAGATGCATTCTGGAGAGGCGATGGTGCAGTCAATAAATACGAAGTCTTGACCCGGACCGCGGGTGGGTACTCACCGTTCTGAGCGCCATGTATCAACCCAATTCAGGAAATTGAACGTCATGGAACAAACATATCTTGCGTATCAGTATCCATTCCAGGCAGTTATCACAGTCGCCCGACGCCCCGAAGGGCAACCGGAGTTCGAAACTAGGTCGGACGCTGCGTACCGAGCGTGACCGTGACCTACGAAGTTATGTGTTGTAACGTCGGCCGGTCACCGTGAGCTTATAGCTATAGAGTGCCAGGGCCCTACATAGCAGACTGTATTTGCACGGTGATTTATCGAGGTGGCGCTGGTGAAAACGGTGCGCCACCCAATGAAAACCGTGGCGGATTCCTCACCGTACGGCCGCTAGCGCCGGCCCCACCTGGTGAAAACTCAATGAGGGCGGATAATGAAAACGCTGATAAATATCCGTGCAAATACACTCTAGCATCGAGTTGTACCCTCAGTCATCAATCAGGAATCAGGTACATGGGAGCGGAACCCTCTGGAATCCAGACGGCTTGCCTCTCACCGGTCCTTTGTCGAATGCGCGAGTTGATTTCATGGTCATAGTGCACGGGCGTCGTCACTCGGTTCCACTTCTGTCGTGCGCACCATGCCAGGCCCTACTACACGTGACCAGACACGGCCAATGGCCGATACTCCTCCTCCACGAACTTCATCTCGTCATCTGTCAGCTTCACATCCAGTGCACCTAGTAGATCTTCCAAGTTGGCGAGACTTGTGGTGCCGACAATCGGGGCAGTGACGCCCGGCTTCGATAAGATCCAAGCCAAGGAGACCTGCGCCATAGTGATACCCTTACGTTTAGCAAGTTCTTCAACTCTGTGAATGATGAACTGCTCGACAACTCGACATGAAGGTAGTGTGCGTGATGCGTACCGCTGTCTGATAGCAGGGACGATGTCATTCTCGTGTCTCCGCATCATCTTGTCTGTCTTGCCTCTGGCGGTGTCTGCACCGACAGGCCGCGTGAGGAGCCCACGACCGAGAGGGGACCATGGGATAGAGCCCACCCCAAAGAGCTATGACACACACTGATGTTGAGCGAGACGGAGGAGTGAAGAGCAGTGATTCCTAACCTTCAAGGTAGGGAACATTTCGCGCTCCTCTTCCCGGTAGATTAGGCTGTAGTGATTTTGCATTGAAATAAAGGGAGTCAGACTGTGGGTGATCGCATAGTCTAGGCGCGCAATATTGAGCCACCCCGGGGATGCATGCATGAGGCGTCATCACGTACTCTGCATCTGGTGGACTACAGCGGACGCAACAGTAAGACTGCACAGGATTGTGATGTTGAATACATTGCTCACACTGGTAGGCGTGGCAAGAGCTCATGCCGATATATCTGACGTATCCGGCTTGTACGACGTCGTGTAGCGCTTGCATCTGTGTGGAAGATCAGTGCCAGCATTTCGAGCAGCTGATAGGGATTCTCTACCGTCTCCTCAATGGGAGTAGTATAGTCGAAGCGATGACCTATGTGGAGTGATTAGTAGTCCCCGACTTTGATACGGCATATACATACATTGCAAAACATCAACGTAATCCAACTGCAGGCGCTTCAGGCTAGCCTTGATCGAGTCGAAGATGTGCTACGCCGCGATAAGCTGCAGTTGTCTGCGTTGGGAATTGGCACGAGGTGACAAAACGCACCTTGCGGTTCAGACCATGCTGATTGATGATGCCGGACTCCTCCGGTTTCCCTTCCAGCCGCTCGCCTTCTTCGGCGACAGGGAAGTAAACCTTCGTCAAGATGACGAGCTCCTCGCGAGGAAGGTCCAACTGCTTGATAGCGTTCCCAAGGATTATTTCCGATCGTCCGCTAGAATAAACCTGTATCAAATCCTTCTGAGATAGGAATTTTGCCTCATACATAGTCTATACTCACATTCGCAGTGTCGAACGTAGTGATACCGTGTTCAAATCTGTGACGAATACAATCGTCAGGAATGTTTCTGTGAGGGAGTCACGACGCACGTACGCGTATTTAATGTGCTTGATAGCCTCCTCCTCTGGGAGGACCCACTCTGCCCAGCGAGGGTCACCATATGACATGGTGCCGAGGATGATCTTCGACACCTTGAGGCCCGAATTCCCAAGGCGGACTGTGGAGTACGAGGTGGGCCAGTTAGCGCGCCTGCAGTTTGCAACATGATGCTACCTACCATAAGGCATCTTAGGAGTAGTCACCATCACTAGTGGGGATTCCTGTTGGGTCGCGCGGCTGGAAGTAGACGTAAGAGGGGAACTTGAAGATATCACGCCGGCGATGCTATTTATATACATGCTCAAGGCCAGAAGAGACTCATTACGCAGCACATAGCGTGCTGAATATAGACTTCCATTACCATTACTTGACAAAGTCGCCCTATATGCTCTCTGAAGTCCCAAACCATAGCGTTCCTTTCCCATACCCTGCAGACGCGCGGTCTGAAATAAATCTTTTGAGCTTCGCTCGAAGGTCATGGGGGCAACAATTCGGTCATCGCATCGAGAGAACCAGCGAGTTCAGAGAATAAGGTTAAACAAGCTAGATCATGGGTTTGGGACTGGTGAGACGCGCTGCAGGGTCGGTGAGAGTAAGTGGTCAAGAGGGCGTCGGTGGTCCGGGTCGGATAGTTAAAGGACAAGATTGGAAATTCCGGTAGGCGCCGACCATAGGACGAACTTTTGCCGTCATCTTTCCTCCAACGAGCTTCTTTGTTGTCGCTCACCTACTAGCAAACGAGCCTCATTGGCCCCCTCGTACAAGCACAGATATGCATACCCAGATTGGGATCGGACGTGCTGATTAGTTCTCCTCCGCAAGACCTTTGCGGCCCAGCGCGGATGGAACCCGGTTCCGAGTATGATTGCTTATCCTTGATACCTTCAAGGAGCCAAGTTTCCGAGGGGAAATGTGTATAGATTTCATTCATATAAGGCCTTGCGCAGTGTGCGGTGTTCGGCAGATACGCGCCATAGGTCATCGTGTTGGCTATCAATGCTGGCCCGTGCTAGTCTTGTCAGGTCTCCGCTTTTAGTCTCATGGACGAGGACAGCAGGGGGGCATCCAGATGAAGTTCTTTAGCCATCCCGTGAGCGCAGGAAGGAGTGGTTAATATCATTGTAGCAATGGATTATGCTCACAAAAACGGTTCCTCTGCAGCTCGAATTATAACGATTGTTGACAGAGGATGGAACCAAGTGAACCTAGGCCCGCGAGGTACTTACAGCTTGATTGCTGGAAACTAACGGCTAGCTACGCATCTACGATTCGAGACTGGTACGGGACTGAAGCTTGCATCTTTGAAAGAACACCTAATCGAGTGTGTTGTGGTGTACTTCATCGTATGATAGTAGGAGAAAATTGCCTGCTGTACATCAGATGGGCACGTTGAAAGAATTGACCTCTCACGCCGCCCAAGATATCCACGAAGCCAGAAAGCCAAGAGTCGCACAAGCCAACAGGTGTATCTGACACCGGCTGAGAGGAGTGTGTATTTGATGAAGCGGGGAGTCCGCGCGATATAGTCACACTCGCACTTCTCAGTTCTTGCAACCAAGCATTCGGACATGGAAAACTTGAGATCAATCTCGGAATGAAGCACTTGCTGTGACAGTCCGACTAGATCTCCTGGTACCCAATCATGCGATCCAGACAAGATACACTTCAGAAATAGACCATCAGAAGTGCCCTGCGATTGCGACGGGTTTGTACGGCTCCTCGAGGAACTTAATCTCATCTTCCGACAGCTGGACATCCAAGCCGCCTGGGTGCGCCATAATCAGAAGCCATTCTGTGGAGCACGTTTGGTCGTGGGATATAATATACTTACCCAAAATGTCCGCGAGGTTGTCAAGACTCGTGGTACCGACTATGGGAGCCGTGACACCCGGCTTCGCGAGCACCCATGCGATGGCGATCTGCGCCATGCTCACACCCTTCTTTTTGGACAGCTCTTCAACCCTGTATCATGGTCGTGAGCCTCTCGGTCTAGTCCGAGCACCAGTGAACTGACCGTGTGACGATGGTGGCAGTGGATTCATTCTTGTATCTTCCGATGAACCTTTACCATCCGAATATGAGGCAATTAAGCATTGCATCCTATCCTCACATCGTGCAGGAGAATGCGCACGTACCAATCGGTATTTCCGCGCTTGGACTCGGCGTCAGCAGGGCGCGTGAGCAATCCACGAGCGAGCGGGGACCAGGGGATGGAGCCGACACCGAAGAGCTTGAGCGTCGGGAACATCTCGCGCTCTTCCTCACGATAGACGAGGTTGTAGTGATTCTGCATCGAGATGAACGGAGTGAGGTTGTGGGTGATAGCGTAGTCTGCGCTTCAGGTCAACGCCAGTTCACCATGAAGCTGCATATTCAGGGCGCTCACTCTGCATCTGGTGGACTACATGTAGTAGGCGGTCGATCAGACACGTGTCGGGAAGAGGGTAAAAATAAAGCACTCACACTGGTATGCGTAGCAGGAACTCATGCCGATGTAACGGACGTATCCGGCCTTCACCACATCATGCAAAGCATGCATCTGAGAACACAATCCACCGTTACTGCTCCGCAAATACCAGACATAATGGAAGCGCTGACGGTCTCTTCCACAGGGGTGTTGTAGTCGAAGCGGTGGCCTGCAAGCGTGTCACGCGCATTGTTGCATGGCATTAAGCACCAAACTTACACTGCAAGACGTCGATGTAGTCCAGCTGCAAGCGTTCAAGGCTCGCCTTAACCGAGTCGAATATATGCTATTTCGGCCATTGCATCAGCTTTGTATCAACGATCGCCAGTCAAGCATATCCGGCTTACCTTCCGATTGAGACCATGCTGATTGATGATTCCAACCTCTTCAGGCTTCTTACCCAGAGCGATGAGGTTGACGGCGGGAGACGCAGGGACAGGGTTGTAGAGTTTCGTCATGATGACCAGCTCCTCCCGCGGCAGGTTCAACTTTTTGATCGCGTTGCCAAGCACAACCTCAGACTGTCCGTTTGAGTAGACCTAGATCGCGAGCGAACGTAGCAGTTCAATGGGATCAACGGTTGATCTGAGACAATATTGTGCAGAGCCTTACGTTCGCCGTGTCAAAGGTCTGGATGCCATGCTCGTACCTTGAACATCGTGAGTGTATGCGCTCATCAGCCCAGCAGAGTTGCACGTACGCATATTTGATGTGCTCGATAGCCTCTTCCTCTTCGAGGACCCACTCCTGCCATTTGGAAGAGCCGTACTGCATAGTTCCAAGAATAATCCTGGACACCTTCAGGCCGGAGTTTCCGAGACGAACTGTTCCACAGCGGTGAGAAACGGCCACCCAATTGGAATGTTGCACGCACCATAGGACATCTTCTTTGGGACGGACATCTCTGCGCTGTTTCAAGACTAACTCACACGCTTTGCTGCTCGAATTGCACCTCAGGGGAGCAGACCTAGGTGCTCTTTATATACCTAGAGACAAGCGCAGAGCCCACTGGTACTCCGAGTGGGAAGGGTGACACTAGAAGGGTCGTCCCATACTATGTCATTCCTGACTAAGAGCGTCTGGACATATTTAAGTTTGGTCAGGCGATAAGACGCGATAGACCGTGGGGTGTTATCGATGCGCGGACTGATGCTTTTGCGACCAACTGTGCGACCCTGCTGAGAGTGCCCGTAGGTGCCTCTCTGAGAAGAAGAGAAAAACCAGAGTGCTGGGAGGGGACGGGACTCTAGCTTCGGAGAGATGGCAAGCAGTGTAGTATCACTGAGCGTTCCTGGGCCATGAGGAGAGATTGGAGCGCCTTCCACTGGTTGAATTGCTAGGATGGGCATTTTCTTAGTCGATATGGCTGCGAGAGTACCGGTAGTGGTGATCAACAAGGAGCTCACAACAGAATCTCGCGTCTCGATAGGAAGCGCCGTCGACGCAGATGTCGTCGCCGCACTCTCGGCATTGGCCGGGCAGTAAGTAGCCTTGTCGGTACTGTTGTCACGGTGGAGGCTAGCCAACTCGTCAGCCCAATACCCCTGATACTTGCGCAGGCTCTCCCTTGACGATTTCCATGTCTGCAGATGCTAGCCCTTCTCGCAAACGACAACGCGTGCTGGCAGACGACGGCAATGCATGCAACTCCTTCGCTAGGAAAGATGCGGAGGTATGGCTTTCCGATGGGAGCGTAGTCATCATTGCCGAGCACGTAGCGTTCCGCGTTCACAAGAGCACTTTAGCTCTTAGGTCGGAGGTCTTTCGCAACATCTTTTCCCTCCCAGATGCAGCCCCGGCTGCGGAAACCTTCGAGGGATGTCCCGTAGTGCACGTGAGCGACTCGCATGAGGATATCCGTCACCTCTTTCTGGTGATTTGCTGCGGTACAAAGTGTGTCTCGCATGCACTCTCTCACATTCTCGCATCCTGACCTATGGAGCGCGTCCGCAGCTATTACTATAGCCGGGATGAGCTCGTTTCCATCCCATTCAGCGTCCTCGCGTCGCTTATCCGCATGGCCCACAAGTATAACATCCAAGCCGTCCTCGAGGACGCACTCTTCCGCCTTAAGAAGTTCTATACCAATGACCTCGTCGCATGGCTGGATCCCGCCGCCCGAGCGCGATACGTCACGTCCGACAACCAGGAAGACCCGATCACGGCCGTTGAGCTCGCCACGCTGACGAGCACTCAGTCTATCCTTCCGACCGCCTTCTTAGCCTCCACCGATCTCGCGGATGTATACTGGGAAACCAACGACGGGAAACCACCGACCATGATGATGACCGCGCTCGCGGCCCCTCAGCAGGCATGGCTCGTCGCGGCGAGAGAGAAGCTGGCGCGGGCCTGCGCAAAGCGCACCATCCAAATACTGTCCGCTGTCCCGAGTAGGCGTTGCGGTCGGCCGGAGAGCTGCATTGGGGTTCGACGGGCGGCGCTCGCGAACATCGGTAATGACCGGGAAACGTTTGCAGGGACATTTCCGGCTGCGGACGCATTCAAACCGCTGCATGAGGAGTTCTGGGGAGAGGCCTATTGGCGCAGATTGTGCGGACATTGCAGAACTGCTTCGGCTCATGCCGATAAAAGCGAGAGGCGAGAACTCTGGCTCCAACTGCCAGAATATTTTGCCCTTGAGATGGACGAGGGTGATTGGCCCACTAGTATGGACGCGGTGAGATTGTGACTTGGTTTACCCACCGACTGAATACACGTCGTGCACTTCGTGTCATCCTCTGTAGCGCCCCATATCATCTCGGGATGCCCATTAGGTTCGTGCTAACCGCTACTCGGCTTGTCTCCATATATTCACGTCAATCTGGTTCAGCTGACAGTTGACTGTGGTGGACGACGGTCTTCCTGTGAGTCTCTGTAGGTCACGCATCATGATACATTCCATACTCTGAAGAGAACGAGTACATAGAATCTCCGTTGCGTGTGCCATTATTGCAGCCCACACGACAGGCAATCTCAACACTGCAGCAGCATCCGCGAGGGTGATGTCCGACATGGCGCGGAATCTACCTCAGCCCTCGACTGCATATATCAAGTATCTGCACAAAGACCATCGCCTTTTGATATGCGATGTCGCTGGGCCGAGTCACACTCGACTGGCCTGCGTCCGCTTCCGCGCAGAAGGATGCGATCGTAACGGGGATGCCCTTGACATCGCGAAGCAGGTCGCGTTTCGAATGCATAAGGGCATCTCAGCTCTCAAGCCCGGTGAATTCCCAAATCTGTCCACGCTTTGCACCTCGGACATCTGTCTCCTCTTCCTTGTTCTGTGCTGCGGCATGTCGACCCCTATCATCTCAGAGCTGACGTTGTAACGCCACATTACAGAGACAAGCTCGCTGCTATTCAGTTCGCGATTCTCGCCTCACTTGAAATGCATGAAAACAAGGCGTCAATCAAGATGTCCTCGAGGATGCCGCCTCTACCGACTAGCTGCGTGGAATATCTGGCCTTCAGTGCGACTTACGTCGCAGCTATAGAAGCTGCCTAAACGGGGACTCGCCGTGAGTCATGATGATGCCGCTCACACGGCTTACGGACGCGCCCTTGCCTAGAGTGCCGAGCGGGGCGTTCAAGGCTGTAACCATTGCAAATGGTGGTCCTAGTCGTGTGCAACCTCAGCAGCAACCGCGTATCGAGTACTGTCACCGGGGACATTTCGGACCTGTAGCACATTATATCCCATCGTTGTAATCAGAGTCGCTGTGGGCTCATTACCTGATCGGGCGTCCCATGGCAATCCCCTTTGGAGGTTTTGATGAAACCGTGTTATACACTAATCACATTCGTTGTGCAGGGTAGGCCAAGTGTGGAACCGAGGTGGGACATATGTTTCCTTGCTGAGGTCACGATGGCGCGGGCTAAGCGCTTCGAGCGCAGACGCGAACCGTCACAGTGTGACCTGACGCGCTGGTGGCTGGACGCGCCGGGACCGGGACTGGCAAGTCTTGTCACGGCTTGGAACCGTGGTTCACACCGCCTATCGTCGTTCGCTGCCAGTGGTTTTCAAATACACCACACCAGGGCTTTCCAGCTGCAACTGTGCATGCTTACCACACCGCCCATGCCGATACTCGGGATCAGAAGCACTGGCTGAGTCACCGACACTCCGGGGATCGTCCTCATCAGTATCGCAACCACAATATTAATCCTGCCACGACGACGCGTCGACTCTTTACGGCAGATATTACGTGCCGATCTCCACTATCTGCGTCTCGATGATACTTTCCGACATCCACCATTGCCCCGCCCACTGTGACACGCTGATAATAACGATGACAGGGTGGGAACGCACACATAAGCTCTGGGAGAAAGAAGTCGGTGACTGACATCTCGTTCGGCGTCGAATCGCACCGTGCGTCGATAACAGGCCTCCGCGCACCGACACCACGGGTGCCAGCCATGCAGGATGAATGTTCCAGTGTGGGACCCCTCCTGCAAGTCTCCTGGCCTTATTTTCGACATCAGACAATTCCTTCCCGCGGTGTCCAGCGCTGCATCTTGCTTCTTTTGTTGGTGTATATATAACACGTGCGTTGTGTACTGTCCCACCACTACACCGCATTCGACGAGAGATTCACAATGTCCACCCCTACTACCACGCATATCGTCGGCTACTCGGAGCAGGCATGGGGTGCGTTCTTTCTCAAAGCGATCCCAAGTAGTGCAGTTTGACAATCGTCCGCAGGCCATGCTCGCCCCATGATCAACCTCTTTGCTCGGTTTGTCAAGCTGCGTCCTGTTACAGTCACGTTCCTCACCACGAACGCGTTCTACGATCGTGCGACCAAGGAGCTGTCGCGCAGCTTCGAATCGGACGACAAAGAGTTGGCAAAGCGGGTCAGGTAACTCGCCTGGTTTCTGTTCTCCCTTCACTGCTGATGTGCCCCCGAAGGGTGATCTCAACCGGAAACGCCGAGTTTATGGCCTTGACTTCTGGAGATGAGTCCTTCAAGACCGCATGGAAATCGCTCATCTCCGAGGAGGAGCTCGTCTGCGCGCAGACCGGCACGCGCTTTGCGCCGCTCCCGAAGCCCAAAGCGATTATCATCGACGTGAGAACAGTGCTCAAGTTGGCTAGCACCATAGACGGATGCTGACGGTTGACCTAGTTCTTTGCCATCGAGCCTTTTAGATCCATCAGGGCCCTCAGCGGAAACAGCGTGAAGATCTACTCTTGGGTCCCAGGACAGACCTACCCTATCCTCTATCTCTTCGGGCCCAAGCATCTCGGCGGTCGCGGCGACGTCAACGCCCTCATCGAGGAAGAGGTCCGGCAAACAGGGAGAGACTACAATGACGTCGCAAACGAGGTTCGTCCGGCGTTGAGTCCCCCTCGAGAAGACACCGACTGAACGCTCCGCACAACGCAGCTCACCTTCAAGCCGTTCGGGGAGATCGTGCGCCTCCCAGGGATGGTCCCTATGTACGACCACGAGTACTACCCGCAAGACGTAAGCGTCTCGTCGAGCCCCATGCGCGCCGCACTCGCTGACCGCTGATCTCTTCCAGTTCCCCATGCCCGGCACTCTGGGCGACATCTTCCCCCACGTCTACAAGTGCGCGCGCCTTGCTCCTCTTGTTCCGCCGAGTGACTGAGTTATTGTTTTTGTGCAGCACGCTCGAAGTATCCGACGGGCTCATGATGATCACCCCGAACTCGTATGAGCCCGAGGCGGTGGCCGCCGCGAAGGGCTGGTTTGCGCAGACGGGGCGTCCGGCGTACGCGGTCGGCCCGCTTCTCCCGTCCGCGTCGAAGGAGGCTGCAGATGCAAATGAGAAGAGGCAGTCCAGCGAGGGGAGCCAGATTGAGGAGTTCCTCGATGCCACTTTGAAGACGTCGGGGCCGAAGTCTTTGCTCTACGTGGGTCTTCCCTCGTCCGAGCCCAGTTCGGGATTGATCTTGATTTCTTCCTGTGTAGATCTCATTTGGCTCGATATTCTGGCCTGTCAATAAGCCCGAGAACGTGTGGGCCGTTCTAGATGTGGTGATGGAGCTCAACATCCCTTTCGTAAGTCGTCCGTATCGCAGGTGGGGCGAGACGGCTGATAAGCGTCGCACAGATCATGAGCCACGCTTCGCCGTTCGCGGGTCCGATCCCCGACGAGATCAAGGAAAAGGTCAAGGCGTATGGGAAGGGGATCCTCTCTCCTTGGACTCCCCAACAGCTCATTCTCGACCACCCGGTACGTCCATGAGTGTCGATTCTGAGCCATGTCCCACTCATGCATATACGCAGGCCACGGGTTGGTTCATCGCCCACGGCGGCCACAACGGCGTGACGGAGGCGATCTCTGCCGGTGTGCCTCAGTATGTATCCGCGCAGTCCCTAAGACCCGTCAGAGAACGTACGAAGGCTGACCACTCACAAAGGATCCTTTGGCCGTTCGGCGGCGACCAGCCGCTCAACGCCGTGCAGATCGCCGACCAGCTCCAGGTCGGCTACGAGCTGCTCGAAGTCCGCACCGGCCACGGGCTAAAGCCGATTTATCGCACGGGCTACACGCCCAAGGGCACCGTCGATGCGATCAAGGCCGAGGTGCGGGACGTGCTCCAGAAGGCATTTGGGGAGGACGGCGCTAAAAAGCGCGCGAAGCTGGCAGAGCTGCAGAAGGCGCTGAACGGGGAGTGGGAGGAGGGCGGGTCGTCGAGGAGTGACGCGTTGACGTTCTTGGATAGCCTCTAGACCGACTGCGAGCTACGCTGCCGAGCTGTCGGTGTATTGTGAGTTTCTGTTGCTCTTCCTCATATTTCCCCTGTACTTGAATGCCTAGAATGACACAGACAGTGGGGTGTATCAGTACTATAGATTTCTCTTTGCTACCAAGCGCTGTGTCGGGCTAGTTTAGTGGTTGAGTGAATATGATCCTGGAGCATAGCCAACATCGGCAGGCAAGGAGGACGTCCGTGAAATCGTTATTCCCGCATTCCCAGAGTCCCACGGAGTCGGACTTACTGCAAGCTCGCCAGTACTGCAGTTGATTTCATAAGAGCAATCTCACCTGCGGCAGCCATCGCTCCGTTTCGGTCAGCCGCACCGAGACTGCCGCCGGCTATCCCGAGGGCCCTCGGCATCGGCCGACAGTCCCTCCTGGCAATAAGCCTAAGTACCTTGGTGAATGCACTGTTACCCAGATGTCCGGCATCGCAGGCCCACGCCAACGTCCGATCATCGATCTCTTCGTTGAGTCTCTCATGTCCAATGTAGTCGCCGGATCGTCATTGAAACCCGCGCGGACAGGGAAGCCTGGTGCACTGACTGAGGTCCACAACAGTAACACGGTCTGGCTTTCTAACGGCAACATTGTGGTGCTGGCCGGCAACGTTGCCTTCCGTGTGCACAAGAGCACGTTGGCCCTACGGTCATCAGTTTTCCAGGTTATATTCTCTCTTCCGGCTGCCCCGGATGCCCTCGCCGAGGACATCGAAGGATGCCCCGTCCTCCACGCCAGCGACTCGTCCGATGACATTGGTCGTCTCTTCAAGATCCTTTGCTGTGGAAAGAAGTGGGCTCTATGCTGCTCTACCACATTTCGATGCTGATGCCTCTCGCTAGTTACTACTATAGGCAAGACGAGCTCGTCGTTGTCGAGCTGGGGGTCCTCGTTTCACTCATACGGATGGTGCACAAGTACGATTTCAAAGACGTCCTCGACGACGCGCTCTCACGCCTCAAGAAGTACCTTCCGAAGAGCATCTCCGCGTGGCAGGACACCGCTGCTCGCACGCGCTACGTTTTCAGCAGCTCCATAAGAGATATCATGGATGTCATACCGCTCGTTCGCCTCACCAATACCCTATCGTGCCCCACCAGTCTTATTCTTATGCGCGTTGAGTGCAGAGAGCCTCTGTATACACCCCACTGAGAGCTTTCGACTCGGGGCGGACGATCCTCGCCTACTACGGGTACTCGGGCCTTGCGCCTCTTGACCGCCGTTCCTGCGGGCCGGTGTGCTAAGCGCGCGTCGTGTTCGCAAGTGCGCGAGCAAGCACTTATAAAAATTTAAACTTTTGAAGTAAATCTTTACCTGTGTTAAATGAGTTTTATTTACTTATCTTTATTAACTCCTCTTAGCCTGGCTCATTCTGCAGAGGCACGTCGAGACGCTCAACTCGCGTGAGGGATGCTCGCTGAGGGAGTGGGACGTTTTGGGACCACAACATGAGCAAATTTGGGGGAAACGGTCGCGGTGCACTCTTTGCGACGTATGTTGGGCTGCATCACAGGCGTTGGATGTGGAGGAGAGTAGGTATGTGTGGCCAGTTTGCCTCGCTTCTTCAATCTGGAGAAGGAGGTCGGAGCGAGCTGGCCTGGTGCTTCGCTTCGAGCGGTGGCGGCGAGGGGTTAGATCTCATTCAAATACTGATTCATGTACGACATGGTATGAAAAGATAGGACTTCGACAACTCGTCGTCATAGCGCGAGACGTAGCGTTCCGCATGCACCAGAGCACGCTTGCCCTCCGCTCAGAGATCTTCCGTGATATCTTCTCCCTCCCCTCACCCGCGGATCTCAACAGTGCTCCTTTGGAGACCATCGAAGGCTTTCTTGTCGTCCGTGTTACCGACTCACTCGCAGAGATCCGCCATCTCTTTTTGGTCCTATGCTGTGGCAAAAAGTGCGTCTCTCCTACTTTCTCATATCTATTCTATAGGCTCATGTAGCTGTTCGACAATTGACAGCTATCTTGTCGACCGAGACGAAGACACCGCCGTCCCATTTCCTGTCATCTCCGCGCTCATCCGGATGACGCACAAGTACGCCGTCGAAGAATTCCTGGAAGAAGCCCTCTCCAGACTCCAGAAGTACTATACGAACGACTTCTCTGCGTGGCGCGACCGCGCAGCACGTGGCACACGATACGTGCACGTCGAAGATAACGACGCGCTCGGAGTATATCTTGCTCGCACGCCTAACAAACACCCCGTTCCTCCCCCGACCGCCTTCCTCGCGTACACGCAGATCACAGACTCCTAGTGGCTTCCAGACGACGGCGAAGAGCCGAAGACCCTGATCTCCTGTCTCGACCCTATGGACCAATTCAGAGTGCTCCTGGCCAAGGCGCTGCTTTTCCAGCATCGCACCTTGCGCCTCCCATATTCGCTCAGCTCTGTCCCTTCCGACCGCTGCACGACGGTAGCCCGTTGCGCGCAGGTCCGCAATGCGGTCCTGCGCCACCCGCTCCTCATCGCGCACATGGCCGGCGACACGTTCACCGAGAAGTACATCCTAGGCCCCGTGCACGAGCGGCTTTGGGGAGACGCACAACAGCGGAGCATCTGTCCGAACTGTGTTGCCGCGTCGATAGCGGAGGACGAGATGCAGAGGACGTAGTTCTGGTAGTGCCTTCCCAGGGTCTTCCAGCTGGAAAACGAGATAGACGACGTGATCGAGGCTAACGGTGTCGCCGGGGTAGCGCCAACCAGGCCTTGATATCTCCCCTATATTCATTATGAAGGTTACTGTACGTCCTATCATACGTCGTCCCCCCCTCACGTGTGTCCCACGACCTCCAGAGGCCTGTAGGGCTCCTCCAGCTCCTTGATCTCGTCTTCCGTCAGCTTCACGTCCAGCCCGCCTGTGTGGCGCCGTCAGCTTCATATCCCCCTCCGCTCTCACAGCGGCACCCCACGCCACACTCACCGAGGATGTCCTCGAGGTTCGCGAGGCTGGTCGTGCCGACGATGGGCGCGGTGACGTGCGGCTTCGACAGGACCCAGGCGACCGCGACCTGCGCCATACTCACGCCCTTGCGCTTCGCGATCTCCTCCACCTTCGAGACCACCTTCATCGTCGACTCGGCCTTGTACCGTCCGATCATCCTGTCAACACCACCGTCAGCCAAGGCCCGCCCTGACAAAGGGCAAGAGAGAGGAGGCGTACCAGTCGACGTTGCCGCGCTTCGACTCGGCGTCGACGGGCCGGGTAAGGAGCCCGCGCGCGAGCGGGGACCAGGGGATGGAGCCGACGCCGAAGTGCTTGAGTGTGGGGAACGTCTCACGCTCCTCCTCGCGGTAAGCGAGGTTGTAGTGGTTCTGCATCCAGATGAACGGCGTGAGGTTGTGCGTGATCGCGTAGTCTGCGTGGTTCAGTTGCCATTGGATGAGAAGGGGGATCATCGATCAGAGGCCGAGCGGAAGGGACGGACTCTGCATCTGGAAGAACTGGTAGGCGTAGCAGGAGCTCATGCCGATGTAGCGGACGTATCCCGCTTTGACGACATCGTGCAGCGCTTGCATCTGTGGGCAGTTATGGTGAATACCATTACTTTCAGGTGCGTTACGATCGCCCGTTGATACACACCGTCTCCTCAATTGGAGTATCATAGTCAAAACGATGGCCTGATAGCATGTTATCCTGCATCGCTAGTCTCGCATGCAGGATAGCACGCACATTGTAAAACATCAATGTAGTCGAGCCGGAGGCGCTTCAGGCTCGCCTTCACTGAATCAAAGATGTGCTGGAGTGAGCAGACGGGCGAACATCATGAGCATCGGGTTCAAGTCACGGATCTCCCAGCCTGAGCTGAGGGAAGCAGGAAAGTGCAAACCTTGCGGCTGAGTCCATGCTGGTTGATGATGCCGGCGTCGATTGGCTTCAAACCCTTGGAGATGAGGTTCACTGGAGTATCAGGTACGGGGAATTAGACCTACATTGCGGTGTCTTCGTGTGAGATGACAGGCTAGCTCTAGAGCGGGTAAAGAACTCACTTTTGTGAGGATGACGAGCTCCTCGCGAGGCAGTTGAAGCTCCTTGATGGCGTTTCCGAGAATCACCTCAGATAGGCCGTTTGAATAGACCTATACCCGCCGGTGTCAGACATGCAAAGGTCCGATGTTCGGCCCACCCCCACTCACATTTGCCGTGTCGAAAGTGGTGATGCCATGGGCGTACCTGCCATGGTATAGCATCAGCTTATGGGGTAGCCGCATACTATGGAGGTCAAGACTCACGCGAACTTGATGTGCTTGATGGCTTCCTCTTCACCAAGAACCCACTCGTTCCACTCGGGATGACCATACGACATGGTTCCCAAAATGATCTTGGAGACCTTGAGCCCGGAATTTCCGAGACGGACTGGGGTCGTGTGAACCTGGTATGTGTAAAGCACTAGGGTACTAGGGCATGAAGAAGTACCATAGGGCATCTTCGACTTGGTAGCCATTGCGTTGGGATAGTAGGGGATCTACCAGTATTCGGTATACCACTCGGGTGACAGAGTCGTCTGAGGGCCGTGGTGTGCGCAAGATTATATACTACTACCTCGAAGCGCGATGTGAACCCACCGACACTCCGAAAAAGAATCCCAACATATTACTGAGAGAGGCTGCGGGGTGTGGCGTGGGTCGTCGTCCGAAGCCTGAGTCATCCGTGCAGGGTGCTTTCTTTGCTGATAATATTGGCATAATATTGCACCGGCCCTCTCGGCGCTCGTTCTGCGGTAGCTCTGGTGTTGCTCCCAATCCGGTCGACCCCGATCGTTCCTCCCGACTGGCACACTACATGCGCCGGGGAAGAAGCCGGCGGACAGATCGGTGAAGCGCCGAGCACCAGGACTGAGACACTCCCCTCTCGCAAGTGTTTCGTCTGTATGGATATGGTACGGAGCGTCTCTACTGTACAGCACACAGGCGATGATGGTATCATATTGTACACTTCTTCCCTACAGGCCATTCCACTCGAACCGCTCCGTGATCTTGAACTCGCCTGACAGCTTCAGCGCATCCGGCGCGCTGCTCTGCCCGACACGAACGCGGTACACGCCCGGCTCCACAACCCAGCGCGCGATGCGCTCCTCCCAGAACGATACCGCGTACTTGTCTAGTGAAAGCGTGATGATCTCGCTGTCACCGGGGGCTAGGTCGAAGATCTTGCCGAAGGCCTTGAGCGCGAGCGGTGGATGCGTCACTTCGGAGGTCGTTGGGTGCGAGATGTAGGCCTGGACGACTTCTGTACCCGTGACCTTGCCGGTGTTGGTCACCTTCACGGAGACGCTGATGTGGACGTCGTCATCTTCAACCTTTGGCTCCGTCACCGAGAGGTCGGAGTACTCGAAGGTCGTGTAGGAGAGGCCGTGGCTAACGTACGGATCCGTGAGAACGCGGCAATAAGACATGGCAAGATCGAACACACCCGAAGTGCCATTGAGGCGCGATGTCTCGGTGGTGATGGTGCTTGTAACCAACGAATAGGTCTTCACCGTACCACACCTATGATGAGACCATTGTCAGAGACGCAATTCAGGGAGCATTGCCTTATGTCGCTGACCTTGCCATGTTCGTGATGGAAATGACCGTGGCTCGCGACGTCCTCCAGCCGCTTGGGGAAGCTCAAGCTCAGCCTGCCACTGGGGTTGACTTCGCCCGTAAGGACCTGTCCGATCGCATCGCCAGTGGCGTTGCCCAAATACCACGCATGCACGACCGCAGCAACCTCGTCCGCCCAGGGCATCGTGATACTCGAGCCGCTCTGCGTAACGACGACGGTGCGCTTGTTCGCGGCCGCGACCTTGTGTACGAGTTCGTCGGTCCTTCCGGGCAAGGCGAGCGTCGTCCGATCGTACCCCTCCGTCTCCCAGTCTGCGTTCAAGCCGACGACCGCAATGACTACATCGGCCTCCTCTGCGAGCTTGACGGCGGTGGCCATGAGCTCGTCTGGATGCTGCACCTCCGCGCCGCCCAACCGAACGCCACCATTTGTGTCCATGATCGCCTCGACGGGGTCGCTGTCCGCGGGCGCACGGACGTTGATGAAGTCGACATAGATCTCGTGCTTGACCCCTGCCTTGAGCGTGAATACGCCGTACTCCTCGGTCGAACCGCTATTGAAGAAGCTTTCTCCACGCGTCTGCTTCGTCCAGTTGTCAATCAAGAGCTTGCCATCGACGAAGAGCTTGGCGCGGCCAGCGGACACAAGGCCGAACTCGAACTCGGTGTCCTTCTCGCGAGGTTTGAAGAAACCGCGGAGGCGAAGGGTGAAGCGTTTCGTGAGTTCCTTGGGGTAGTCGTCGCTACAGGGCGCGATCGGTCATGTAAGTCTATACTGATGTCTATCGGGATGAGGACATACCTGAGGAAGATACGAGTCTCGTCTATGTAACGGGTCACAGTGGGCTCTTCTAGAGGTGTCATGCTATCGTCGTTCTCGTGTGAATGAAAGTAACCCGTCCATCCAGGCTTGCCGTCTTCGGTCTCAAGCTCGTTCTCCAGGGTCGGCATCTGCATGTAAGCTAATTCGCGTCATCAGCAATGCAGATTGCATATCTAGGAAGCAGCGTACCGCGCGCGCCCTCAGAGTAAGTAATCTCTACACTAGGCTCGACCGTCTTGAGTGCTGAAACAATACCCTCGTACGGCGTAACGAAGAAGCTGGGCTTGAGTGCAGCTGACCCCCCACCGCTGAGAACCGTCGCCTTCGCATTTCCGCCGACGATCGCAACCTTCTTCAGACCCTGCTCCTTGGGCTTGAGCGGAAGGATCCCGCCCTCGTTCTTGAGAAGGACGATGGACTGATTGGCAACCTTCGCCATCAGCTCCCTTCCGCTTTGACGGTCGCCGGTCTGTTCAATACGATCGCCGTCTAAAACCTGAAACAAAGCAGTCAGCTGTTGAGTTACAAGAGGCGTATAGCAAGTTTAGGAGTACCTCGGGGGCATACTTAGCACACTTCTGGACGAGCTCAAGGACTTTCTTGGCGCGCTCTTTGACAGTGCGCTTCGTAATCTTGCGGCTCTGGATGCTGCGTCCCCATGTTCGGAACTCTTTGGAAACAGTGCGGAGAGGTGAGCGTACCTGCGGTTCATGAGGTCTAGCGTTCGCCATTTGTTCGTGCCCGGCATCTCGAGATCAAGGCCAGCGTTTATGCTGTGGTCGATAGAGTATATGCCAAACCTAGAAGGATCGTCAGGATGACATCCATAGGAATGAGGTGTATAGAGAGACATGCCAATCACTCATGATCAAAGCATCCGTACCCCACTCATTGCGCAGGATGTCCTTCAGGAGATGAGGATTCTCAGATGCATGAGTACCATTGACACGGTTGTATCTAGAGGATGGGGGCCATGAGCATCCTGGTATCCCGAACACAGTCGTAAAGACACACGCAGTCATGTACGCCCATGGGTGAGCATACTTCTCCGCGAGCATGAAAGGCATGAGGTAGATCTCCCTCAGCGCGCGCTCAGTCAGGACCGAATCGTACGCAAATCGGTCGTTCTCCTTATCGTTCGCGACGAAGTGCTTGATGCACGCGCCGATACCGCCCTCCTGAAGTCCCTTGACGTAAGCAGCAGCAACCATGCCAGACAAATGCGGGTCCTCCGAGTACGACTCGAAGGAGCGGCCGCCGAGCGGACTGCGCGCGGTGTTGCACGTCGGACCGAGGAGAATAGACGCGGCCTTGAGCTTGACCTCTTGCGCGAGGAGGTCCTTCGCCATTGTCTCGATGAGCGCGGTGTCGAACGTCGCAGCCATCGCAGTCGCGGACGGAAGACACTTCGCGGGCGTGCTCATGAAGAAGTAGTTACCGCGGGCACCTGATAGTAATAATCAGCATACACGATAGGAAGCAAGGGCATGCGCAATGAACTGCTGCGCACCGTTAGGGCCGTCAGTGACCTTGATTGCTGGGATGCCGAGACGAGGAACGGCATGGGTGTGCCAGAAGCCGACGCCAGCTGTGAGTAGGATTGCTTCATCGGTGGTAAGCTGCTCGACCACCTCCGGGATGGATGCCTTGGCAAAGTCAGACAGAGGCATCGCGTTCGTGTATAACTTTGGCGAAGCCCTACGTATCGATAGATGAGCAGGAGGGGAGAGAGTAGGAAAGGACGCGCGACGCTACAGGCCCGTTCTTATAGACGCGGACGGGGAAGTCCATTACCCCACGGGGCCGTTCCGAAGTTTTTCCGCTACCTGCTTGGATCGACCCCGACTAATCAGTCGCCCGCATTTCGGTTGCGCAGTGTTACCGCGTATAGAGACAAAGAATTTGGCCTTGAATCGAGCTGTGTAAAAGCGCATGCCACACCAGCCAAGGGAAGGTGGGCGATTGGCAGTGATGTTTTGGTGGCCGCACTCCGTCAAGGCGGCATCGGCTCTAAAGAAGGTGATCCACAAAGAAGGGTGCGACTGGGGCGACCGATAGCGTTAACAAGCGCCCTGCAGCCGGCACGAAGTGAGCATGTGAGAGGTCGACGGCAACTTGGGGCAGCGCAAAAACTAGATGCGGCGTAACCTCGGACAATCTGGCTAGACGTCGAGGCGAAGTAGAAGACCAACTTGGAAGTGTCACTTGAACTATGATCACTTTTAGCTAACCTGTAGCTACTTACGAAGATAAGAACAAAGGACCATCCCGGGGCATTCGGATGTTCGCCAATGAACGAGCGTAAGAGAGTATGGAGGCTGACGTAGAAATGAAGAGGACCTGCGTCTTGGCGGCGAAGCGCGCTGTATGTCAAGCATGTGAGGTGAATGCCATGGGTTGCTGCGAAGGGAACCTCTAGAGGCAAGCTAAACAAAGATCGGGGGTTCGACTGACCTGCCTGACCTCACTTCCCAGCGTCCACTAGCTGGAGGCGGGGCTGATTCTAATGTACATGAGTCTCGTACTTTGCCCCCGTAGGGTAGCTAGCTCCCCTCAACAATGATACGATTCATGGCAAAGAGCGGCTAGAGGAAGTTGCTGATAGTATGCCATGGTTTCTCGCACCAGCGTAAGTTTGGGTGATGGTGGCCTCAACATGAACGTAGAGACATCAAAACGAGCAATGAGATGATGGTGCCACCTACGAGGTGGGATGTCGGCGTCACGTTGAAGAAGTAGAAGCTCTTAGGACGAACGTAGTAGATGTTTCCCTGCTATCCGTGGCAAAGAGGATAGCCTGATTTTCGCAGACGTGTTGCAATCGTTATTACCCCAAGTCAGGTCACGGAGAACACATCGAACGACGTCTATGGCGCCCGACGGTTCTGGAGGCGAGATGTGGTAGGTGCTGGCGATGCACTTACCTCCTTCAAGCCTTATAGCCTATTTCCACCCAACACGTAGTCATGGACGAGAAACAGCTTCCCATATCCGTACTTGGCGACCTCCTTGACAACGACTACTTTGTCGACTCCTCTTCTCGGCTGCACTCAGTGGTACCGGGAAACCCAGCTCACAGCGGCAATGTTGACTTATACTCGACGTCAAAACAGGAAGCACGACCGAAGCAATGACCAGCAAGTCGGTGGAGAGTGGACGGCAGACAAAGTTCAGGTCGATCAGAGGCTTGAATGCACCCGTTGTCATCATCGTACATAGCCTCAAGCGCCTTTGGCGCTTATCCTGAACTACGTGTTCGGTCCTCAAGTTGCGAAAATCCCAGGTGGCTCATTGTGGTCCTGGCGACTGCATTACAAGAAGTTTTCCATTGAAGGAATAGATACAGCCGAGCATCCGGCTGTGCTGTCCAGACTGTTCAGCTTTAGCGCGCGCTTCTATACGTCCACGATTTGCCCAAGCGAACCGGCGCGTAAGGGATGCGATAGGGAAGGACATGGCGGAAACTAAAGTGATTGGAAGATGCATATCATCGGGTATCTATTCGGGACAGGTATGAATACAAAAGTCAAGAAGTGTAGCGACGTAGAAGGGGCTCTAGGGCGATACGCCCATCTAGTGGCGTGAAGGAGGATACGCCCCTGTGTACCGGATGTCAGCACGCATTGACTATACAGTTGAACGTAAGGAGACTTACATCACGGCGTCCGTGTCAGAGTTACACCAGCTGCAACACCTATACGGGCCAGCCATCCACCTCGAGTCGGAAGTGCTGCGGGAGGGTCTTCCACACCCTCTGACGCATCTCCTCGTCAACTCGCCTCGAGGCTTCCTGGCAGCAAGCACATAAAGCATTCGCAGCGACTCCCCAAAACCAATCGTACAACGGCTGCAATGCAACCTCGCACGACAGCTTGGTCTCGATCTCGCCGCTTACGTTGAGCCTGCCGAGCAGACCGTGAGCAAGCAGGGCGCACTGGCTTTGAGTGGGGCATTGTGGGGCAGGAACCGCAGTGCTGATGGCGAGAATACGAGAAGTGACGCCTTCGATCAAGGCTGCCTTTCCGCGTAGGGCCTGCGTGATGATCTCGGCGGTCAGACCCAATTGTCCGTCATGGAATTCGGGCAGCATCATGACGAGTTGTTCCGCATGCCGAGACATCTCGAGGTAGGCAGATGGGAGTATGGAGAACGTATTGGTCAGGCGAGCCACTTGGACGGCGAGGAGGAAATCAGGTGGCCTGATGGTAACATATCGAGCGCGCTGTGGATAGTTCTCCCAGGCAGATAAGTCAGAAGGGTAATACTTCTTCAGCCGGGAGAGCGCGTCGTTGAGAATGCTCGGTATGGCATACTTGTGACCCATATTGATGAGCGAGTATAGCACATCGAATTGCACGGGTACTAGCTCATCATTCTCGTAGTAATAGCTGCAGATATTAGTAAATCTACGGACGCCGATGAAGTGAATTACGCACTTCTTGCCACAGCATAGTACAAGGAAGAGACGACGGAGATGAGTTGGGTCGTCAGAGACCCAAACGACTGGACAGCCGTCCAAGGTCTCCTCTTCGGCGGCAGAAGGTGGAAGGAGAAAAAGGTCGCGGAATACTTCAGAGTGAATGGCTAAAATGCTCTTGTGCACACGGAATCCGGTGTTTCGCGCGATGACCACGATGTTCCCGTCAGGTAGCCAGACATCCGTGTCTCGTGTAAGAGCATCAATCCCGCTGTCATCGCATTCGGTGAGTCTCCGCTTGATAGAGATCGAGTCTTGTGTGTTCATGTAAGGAGAGCAGATAGTGTAGCTGCCAGATGATGATAGTTGCTGTCTAAGCCGTTTCCGAGTCGGCGAGTGCACTATCAGTGGAACGAGCCATGTCATAGCGTGGGATCAACCACGTGACCCATCACCGGGCTTGCACAAGCGCTTCTCGAGTCTTCCTCGAACCTGCTCAGCCAGTACGTTTACCATCCGGTCCGACGATGTCTAGCTTGAAGCTGGTGACTTTCCTCGCATGGCTCGCTGACCACCATGTCCATATACACGAAGGTATATCCATTTCTGAGAATGGTGACACTGGGCTATCCGTCATTTCGCACCAAGACAGACCAATTCTCCATCCGGACAGACGTATGTGTTCCTCGGTGGATGCTGTCTTGCCCCATTGGTCGTTGACGTATTGTCGGTTACTAGTCTTTGCCATTCCAAAAACGTCCGTCCTCTCAGTCAGGACGTGTACTCGTGCACACCAAATCTCCTGGCATCCCTGCGGACACGGATCCGTCCTCGCCCTGTCATTTGCATTGTATTCGGAGCTGTGAGTTTCAATCTATGGACATACAACGCACATTCGGCGTGGTGGCTTTTGTACATATCTCCTACTTGCTTCTGACAACAACAGTGGCTTGTAAGGCTCATAGGACCACGCTCGCGATGGCATGGATACTTGCAGTCTCTCCCTACACCCACTGTTCCCATTGCCCGGCTTTGGGGCCATCCTGCGGTTTTCGGTGACGACGATGCCATGGCCGCGGCGGAGTGGATCAGAGGCTCCGAAGTAGAACGAGAGTTGCACAACGATGAAGGCGGATCACTTCAGGTATGAGCCTACCACTCATACGCATGGAGATCTGTAAACCTCACGCGTTGACAGGGGGAGATAGATGATTTCTACGTCTCAGATGTATACCCGCTACTGTCCTCTATGGACATGCAACCGACCCACGCCGGCTTTCTCCGAGCATACTCCCTTGTCTGCTCGAGAGCTTTCCAAATCGATGCATACCACGGCCTCTCCATGGTGCCACTTGCAGATGCGTATGTAGACATCGGCTATCAGGAGGCTTAATCCTGACTGTCGGTACCAGATTCAACCATAGCCACGAAAACCACGTACAACTAGCGGTATGCAAATCCTTTAACGCTCCGCGGTAATATCACAAATCAGCTGCTCTTTGCACAGAGCGAGTACGACGTTTGTCCGGCTTGCGGCTCGCTGTCGGAGTGTCCGCACGATCGTGAGGACGGATCATCAATACAAGCGGATCAACCTATTGCCGTCACACCATCCATCGATCCTACTGATACGGTCGACATGGTCACGGTGCGCTCTATACCGCCAGGTGTCGAGGTCTTCAACACATACGGGGAAACTCTAGGCAACGCCGCTCTTCTCGCACGCTACGGCTTCATGCTGAACGGTTCAGAAGCCGATACGGTCACTTTCGGGTGGCACGGGTCATCTCTCGAACTGCGCCCCGGCGACTCATACTGGAAGAGCGTCTACGACCTCGTCGTGGAACCAGCGGGTGGAATCCTTGCAAGCAGTCTCATGGTGTACTTCCCCGATATGGAGCCCGACATAAGCCCCGTCCTGTCCATTGATAGTGATGGTCGAGTCTCCATTGCACTCTTCGTGTGGGCGATAGTGGAATCTATGAGTGTGCAATATGGGGCTGAGTCCACAGAGCTCAGTGTCTCTGTGCTGCGCTGCCTATTACGAGTAGAGGCGCTTCGCGACATGGAAGAACGGGACGAAGACATAGAGATACCATCAGAAGCTGGGCCACCTCCTGGTCCTACAGTAAGCTTATTTGCTATGAGAAAAATACGTACGTGGCTGACGAGCCTAAGGCTGCTCTATTTCTTGCGCAGACTGCAAAAGAATTAGATAACCTCTGTCGCACGAGAGTAGCCAATATGGGTCGAGTGGAATATCGGGGGACAAACATGGAAGTGCTTGGCGAAGTGTTTGACGTAAGTGAGTGGATAGGTCCAAAGCGGTACTTTTCTTAATCTGCTCTTGATCTGCGGTTCTCGGACAACAACAGGACCTCCCTGCAGATAGACCGAAAACACGCCTTGCGCTGGAGTACCTTCTGGGAGAGCGTGCAGTGCTGGAAGTTTGTGCAGCAGGATGGGAGGAGGTGAAGAATATCGCCGATACCTTATCCCTTGGATAATGAGGCGCGCGGAATTCGTCCAGGTTTGGAGCGCTGCTGATATCGGCAGAACATTCGCCCAGCCGTACCATTTCTCGGAAGTCCAGATGTACGGCACAGACTTAACGCAGGAATTCATCGTCGTTCTGGCGTCATCGTAGGGTCGACATTTGGGATGGTGATACACGCCGGGGCACAGGGCAAACACACCGCATTTTGTTGTAATTATACGACAAGCCCAAGTGGCGAGATTACGAATTGTTTACATATCGGTGAGTGGAGGGCAATTGTACTATGATCATATACTATCATCTAGCAACTGGCGACGGCGTTACGGCGATGGTTGTCTTAGCATGCCCAAATGCAGTCTGCGAATTCGACGGACTAACGAGTCCACTAGCCAGGGGGTCTACAGGGATGTTGTCGAGTGCAGACCTGCTAAAGACGCGGCATAGGAGAGATAGTGACACGCAGGACGCGGCTAGGGCCGAAGGGCTTAGTGTGGATATTTGCGAAGACATGTGTATGTCGTGAGTAGATGAACGTCCGGGCGTTCTGTACTACAACTGTTCAGCGACTTGCGTTCCGAAGATCGATGAAGAGAAGGATGAAGGAATGCAAGCCCCGAGGTTCCATTCGTTTGAGCCATGCCGACCAACGGACGGCAACCACGAAACGTACCTCCGTGCTACCTGGGAACATGCGCCAGGGGGCAGTGGACAAGGTGCTCAACGTCACGCGCTGTACATGAAGACCGTGTAAGTATAAGAGGAGATACATAGCAGAGAACGTCAGCTAACGAATCTATAGCAACTGGTAAGCAGATATAGTAAGCACGATTGACACTGACAGCTAATTTGATAGCTCTAGACCTTCTATCTTGACATTTCTCTGAACATCCGCAGCAGCTTTTAGTCAGCGTGAACCCCAGTACCGACGACTGTATACATACCTTCCGAGGGCAATGCTCCGTCAGCCTTTGGCAAGCCCACACCATGATCTCCTCAATATCCACACATCGCTCCAGCACACTCTTCACGAAGAAATCGTCAACTGCTCTGCAGAAACCCACGTCGAGGCGCTTCAAGTTCGTCGCAATCGCGGGAATACCCTTCAGCCCGTCCTCAGTGAGGTCCTTCCAGCCGTTGATGTCCAAGTGCGTCAGCTCGCTGCCGGAGTGGTTGAGGAGCGCCCCGATCGCCGCATCAGCGAGGCCATGGTTCCCGCGCATGCTGAACCGGGAAAGTCGCGCGGCGTTCCAGTTGTCGAAGAACTCTGCGACCCCGGCGTCTGTTAAGTCCGGGGTGTTGTTCAGAACGAGCGAGGACAAGTTCGGCACGTGCGGCTTAAGCCCACGAAAGAGGAGCGCGTCGGTGATGTTCAGGTGACCGGAGAGGTCGAGGTACTCGAGCGCGTCTCCGACGGCTTCGAGCATCGAGATAAGCGCCTTCTCGCTCACGGCGTCCCCGATGCCGGGCTTAGAGAGGTCGAGGTAGATGAGTTGGCCCCCTAGCGGCTTGATGCACTCGAGAAAGGCGTCCGACATCTGGCCGATCTCTTGAAGTCGTAGTTCCTTGAGATTCCGGCAGCTCTCGACGAGCACTCGGACACACTCGATGTCAAAGCGAGGGCTTTGTATGATGAGAAAGCCTTCGAGGCCAGGATGCGCCTCAAGGAAGGCCTGCCAAGCAGGAGGGCGCACCAGGAAGGGCCCTAAGAGCTCGAGACGCTTGAGGTGAGGCATCGACGTGGCCCACGTATTGATCACGGCGTCGTCCATGTGTCCACAGAACTCTATGCGTAGATGGGTAAGGTTGGGATTCAAGGATGCAAGTGCGCACAGAGCAGGCGACTTCAGATCTGTGACGAAGCAGCCCTAAGCAATGTCACAAGATGGCAATTTGGGTGGCCCGACTCACTAGTAGCATCGTATAGCGTCAGACGGACATTCTCGATGTCGTAGAAGAGCATCACATTCTCAGGTGTCCTGTCGGATGGTATGTATGCATGCATATTCAAGATCTGAAGCGGTACGTACAAGCGTCTGTTCTTTGCCAACGCCCTCGCAATTTCTTCCACGTTCATCGTTCCAATATCACCTAGAGCTTCCACATCGTCTATGTGCTTACTGATCACCTACGAAAGGATTAGCGACCGGGTACAACCGAATGTAAGAGTGGCGCCTACATCAATACAAACAGACGCGAGGCTGGGGAACCGTCGTTCCTCATAGCTCACAACGTTACGTTTATCAGCTGCAGGCTTACGCTTGCGAGGCGCAGCAGGCTTCTTGAAGGGATCGGCGCCAGAGGACTTAGCGCATATATGGCACAACCAGCCTGGCGGAGGATTCGCAGCCAATGTATACTTTGTCTAAGACACATCGTGAGACAGGTTGCAGTAAGTGGAGCAAGCGGACTCACCACAGTGAATTGCTTCTCGCATCGTGCGCATTTCTCGAAACTGCCTATGGGGGGCTTCGGCAGGTCGCCCTTCCACATCTTTGATAGAGCGGAGTAGGGGTCCTCATGTCCGTCGTCCTCGTAGTCGTCATCGTCCCCCTTGTTGGCCCTTTTCTTGGCCTTGGCCTTCTCTTTCTCCTTCTGCTTCGCTTCGGTAGCCTTATTCTGCCTACGCTTCTTTGGTGCGGGCTCATCGGGCTCGTCTAAATTATCTGACGCATAGCCATCTACAGGCTGAAGTAGACTTTACTAACACGTAGACAATCCAGAGTTTGAGGGCGTACCAGCGATGACTGCGCCTCCTCCATAACCACGTCCCCATCTTCCTGCTGAGCCTGGTTGCTTGGCCCTGCGGCAGGGCGCGCCGCTGCCTGAGCTTCGTTTGCTGCACGGGTCTGCACCCTACGTGCTATTGTTGTGGGCGTTATACCAGATTCCTGATCCGATCCCAGTTAGGGGTTGCTCACCAGAGGCCTGTACTAGTTGAAACTTACACGCAAAAATTCTGTGAGCGCCGACGTCGGGCCACGCACAGCGTTGTTTCTTCGACTCATATTGCTATACTGAGTTAGTCGTGAGGATCACAAGAAGAGAAGGTACGAGTAAGGCCGTCGTAGATTGCAAGGGGAGGAGGGGAAGCCGGTGGCGGGTGGTGAACAAGACGCGTCGCGCATTGGACGTGGCTCATTAACGCATAAACAAACAACAACAACGCGTCCGTGACCTCACCCTGCGACGAGTCGTTCCGCACAAACTCGACATCGGTCTCATGTGGCTTCATAAAGTCCAAGCTGAGCAAATCGTGTGTTCTCCTCTTCAATTTTTACGAAGATGGGGATGATGCTAATAATACATTATAAAATAATGTTAACGCAAGCTTCCGTCAGTTCATCCTGTAGGTCGTCGTAACGACAGCTGTCCGTACGAGATGTCAGGGACGTCGTGATACAACAACCCTAGATCAGACTTCGATGTACCAACGAGCCAGGTGGTACCTTGGGGGGTGGGATTGGAGGCGGGCCGTAAAGCCAATCAAAATCGCTCGAGAAGTCGAGAGAAGCCATCTGAGCCTTGGTGATGCTGTTGTCCTTCAGCCACTGCGACTCGAGCACCTGCTCCCCGTCCATCAGCGGACTGAATTTCGGCCGACTGGAGCCGTATGAATCAGCTCCTCCTGGGCGGTACCACTCCTCGAAGGTAAGATCACGATACTTCCTTTCAATGCACAAGGGACTCATCAACGGCTTTGTCTCGTCTGTAGTCATGATGCACGCCGATTAGTCGTGTTTCGATCAGTAGAAACATATAGCGACGTACGTTCGCGATTTGGATTCAGATCCAGGAAGTAGGGGTGGCGGAAGAGCTTTTCGATTTGTATGCGATCATCAAGTATCTGTCGAGGTGATGGCGGCAGATCTCAGTATCTGTTCGCATAGCGCTCGAGCAATTGAACTGACTTTACTGCAGAGATCCCATTTCGCGGACTCTTTGGGAATACCGGATTTGGAGAGCCATACGTGGATCATCAACCAGTGCTGACGTTCCTCCGGGCACATTCCGTACCATCCACCTTTCCCGCCCACGTAGGAGGGAGGAACGCTGTCGACGTTCCACAGACCGGTCTTGATGCCCCCGAGGAGCTCCACAAACGTGACGCCAAGGCTGAACAAGTCGGACTTGTGGGCCACATACGGATCGACTTTGTTTAACGCCTCAGGAGCCAAGTAACCCGCCGTGCCCCCGGGAAGGCCGTGCCACATCAGGAAGTCGTCTTCGCTCATGAGCGACGCGCCTTCTGGCCTCTGTGCCAGGCCGAAGTCAGAGAGGACCACGGCGCCGCTCCCGTCGATAAGGAAATTCTCCGGTTTGATGTCTGAGTGGACGATACGGAAGTCCTTGAGGGCTTTCACAGCATGCAGCTAACAGGTGCGGCGCGCGGTAAGCATTGCGAGGAAACGAGGGTGAGTAGTCCATTATCAGACGCACCATCTCATAACACCAAAGCTGTGCCTCGGGCTCGCTGTAATCGCCGTTGCGTATCTGTTCGCCTAGATCCCCGTAACACATTCCCTGTAACACTTGTGAGCACCCGTTGTCGCAAATGGCTATACAACGCACCATAACGAAGTAGACGTTCCGCTCATCGTGCCAAGTCTCGTAAAGCCGTGCCCAGGACCACACTCTGTGTTCCCTGCCGATGACCATACACTCCTTCTCCATGAGCAGCGCGTCCTTCACGCCCAACGCTTGCCGGCACGCCATGCGCTTGTGTACAACCTTTACTGCGAAGACACGACTGCAGTGGGCTTCTACCGTCATCATGACGCGACCCCATCCGCCTCGACCGACCATGCCACAGATGATGTAGTGGTTATCGAACGGCGAAAACACCTCGTCGGCGTATCGATCGGGTTCGTCGTTGTAGGGATTTGACTTTGCGAGGCGGACTGTGTCTAAAGTATGAGAGGGCGCGACCGTAACCGTCGTGGGCACGCTGGGAGGTCCCAAGTCGAGAGGAGAAAGCCCGGTTTCCGTGGCGTCTGAAGCCTGTAGTCGATCAGGAGGAAGAAGAGGAGATGAAGGTGCGGTAGGCACCATGGAGTGTGGTGAAGGAAGCAGAGCGTCCGAAGGCATGGGTGAAGAGACGGAACCATCGTCGGAGTTGGTCGCCACGGGCCACGGGTCGTGGAGGAGAGGCGGAAAGCCGGGGAAGACGAAATCCATGGTGTTCCCCGGAGAGGTGTTGTGAGGACAACTGAGGGAGCCGAAAATGTCCTTCGGCGCCAATTCCTTCGATACAGTGCGAGCGGGGGATTCTATAGAATGATCGTCAGCGCAATAGCGAGCGGAAGGATTAGGGAGTGATTGACCCTCAACCTCTCTGCTGCATTGGCGCGCAGATTCCTTCACGAGCCATTGAACTTGGGGTGGAGCGAGCCTAGCATGAGAGTGCGCGTCGCAAGGAAGCCCACCATATCGAGTGTGGTCGGGAGTGTCGACCAGGGTCCATTTTGGCGAAGGGGTTTGGATCAGCCCTCTGCTCTCATACGTAGCCACGGCCCTGCCAATCAGGAAGAGTGAGGTTATGTCGCATCTCAAGCATACAAAGCTGTAGCGTACCTGGGGCGACCAAAACCCGCCCGATCGAGGGCCTGATTTCGAACCAATAAACGCAGGCGGCAGGTCAGGATGAGGAGACCCAGGCCATAGAACCTCTCCGCGTGCTCGAGACGAGACAACAGTGGCGCAAAGACGCTCCCGAAGTATGACATGGCGGTAGTGGTCCGGGTGAGGTTGTGTGGCGAACATAGGCAAAGCAAGGCAGCCAGGGTTTATAACGAAGAAAAGCTGAGTGTGGCCGGGGCTGGGTATAACAAAGGCGCCAGGGCCACGCCGCACAAGCGCTAGGAGTGGCACACTCACCGCCCAAGCGTTGCGAATTTCTAAACAAAGCGGGTCAGTGGCGTCGCTGGCAGCTGTGATCTCAACCATCTCGGCACAAAAAACGTATCGACGCTTTGCAGCTGTGAGCTGCATTTGTTATGTCATGCCCAGATGGGATGAGGGTTATTGTAGACGAGGTCGCCAACAAAGCGGGTCGTTTTTAGGCCCAGGCTCAAGGTATCGGGGGAGGATATCGAACGCCCATCAGGCAGGGAGTCTACACAGTTGCTACCATTCTGAACCTATTGTCGACATGACTCCGGGACGCGCTTGCATTCCTACTACTGCTAGAGACCCGTGGGTTTAGTGAACTTCTTGTGAGAGCATCCGGCATTTGCGCATAGACATACCTCGAATGAACAAGATAATCTCTGTGCGATGCACGCAGTCGAAGCTATCGTCGACGAGGAAGGTTGCGCCGCAACGTTAGCGTTAAATTGATACAGATGTTCTCTAGGGTTTAGGGCAAGCTCTGTGGGAATGAACTCAATCGGGCGTTTAGGGTGTTCGAGTTAGCTTACTGTTGTTATGCCGACTATTGAACGGTGTTCAACCGCATTACTTAACTTACATCATGCATATGTGCCCGTACTTGAATGTCCTTGAACTTGGTACACGCGTCGGTACGACTAGTCCCTTGGCCTCACGCTCCCACACACCATGGGCGAGTCAGTCGTACTGTCCATAACGGACCAATGGCGTAGCTTCGAGAAGATCAAGTATCTTGTCGTCTTGTCGGTAGGGTCTTCTCGTCTGTCAACCACTTCGACTCACGCGCAGTATGTACGCAGCGGCGACTCCTTCTCCTCAGTAGGATACACGTCGAAAGACCTTCCTCCTTCTGCAGATATGCCTCTTGGAGTGCCATCGCCAGGAATCACGTCCTGCGAGGTGGTCAATGAGGCTACGGGCGAAGTCACGTACGAGCCTAACTGGGTCGGATACCTATCACAAAAGGTCAACTCCGAGAGGAACGCCAAGAGGAACGCCGACCCGCTCCTCGTCTACGACTATGCTGTTCCTGGTGACACGGTCGCACGCATGAAATTGTGGCAAGTGGGAAAGGAGTTCATGCCTACCATGGGCCAGCATCCGGAGTGGGCACCATGGACATCGTTGGACTCTCTTTTCGTAACCTGGATTGGTACAAACGACTGCACGTGGAACCTTCGCCTCCAGGTTTCTTCTGCTCAGGCAAGTCTCGTGGACCTATTCAAGGCTCAAACGAGGCTGTATAATGCGGGCGCGCGCAATTTCTGCCTGATAGACGTTCCGCCTTGTCACAGGTTCCCGAAAGGTACGGGCAAGACTGATCGTGATCTTTGAATCCAGTCGCTCATCGCCCTTATAGGCTCGAAGAGCCCTCGCGCCAAAGACGCTTTTGCAGTGTGGAATTCGATGCTTTCGGAATCCGCCAAGAACTTCGGTGCCGCTCATCCAGATGCGACTGTCTTCATCTTCTCCTCATGGGAGTTGGTCTCCCGTCTCCTGTCAGATACACCATCGACCGGTTATCCCACCGAGAACATCGACCACACTGCTCTGTTTGTGGATGGTTTCCATCCGTCGCATCAGGTACACGCAATATTGGCCAACGAACTTCATGAATTTTTCTCGCATGTATCCTCTAGTCCCTCACCCAAAGCTAATTGATAACAACCACTTCGAAGCACCTAGTCGTCGGATACACGAAGTGCTTTATGGGGTTCGAACCCGGGGGATTCAGAGTTCATCAAGCGCCCTTCCTGCCAATTGTAGGGATTGCGCGTCCCATCATTATTAGCGTGTGTTGCCGTCGTCCGTCACCTGGCTCATATTGTACTCGTCCCGGACGTGGGGCATCCCCTTGAGCTCCCCACTACGTCTACGTGTCTTGCACGCTGAAACTTCTTGGGCCGTTAACGCTCGCGGTGTCTGCAACGATGGTCGAAATCGATACATCTGGCAACCTGGCTGTTGGAATCCTGGCGTCAAGATGGCGAGCTCGCGGAACAAGCGCCACAGGTCCCGCCTCCCCGACGGATACCCGCGCCCTTATCTACCCCTATTTAGCTACGTATATAAGCCTTATTGTATCTAGTGTGTACGGCACGCGTTTGCACCGGCCAAACGCGAATCCCATTTGTGCCCGCTTGCCCTCGAACTTCTACACAAACGCGTCTCCTCTGCCCGAAGGATAATTCGAGGCACTGCCTAGTGGGGCCGAAGCCACTCGACGATCCCGCGAACCGACGACCCGTGACGACGACCGACCCGACGACGACCGACCCGACGACGACCCCGTGCACCCCGACGACCCCGTAACCGTGACCGCCCCGCGCTCCCCGCTGCTCCCGCCCCGATGGCACCGCCCA